TTGTCTAGGACATAATGAATGGGTTTGTATTGCTTACAAATAAAGTTGTAATTGCATACAACACAATTCACTTAATTTCATTACAAGTTCCAAGATGTGGGACTTCATGCGTCAAATGTGAAACAGCCCTATTGTGTATTACAAGGTTCATCCGTCCTTGTGCTGCTTAACTCTGAGCTCTTAGCTCCCGCTCCTTACCTTACATTGCAAAAAGGGCACAAGGGATGGATTTAAAAATAATTTCAGGGCAAAGTTACAAGTGTTTCAGCCTTTTGCATCAGAGACACGTCTGTTTTCTGGATTTCTGGTCTGCTTCATCCCAACATGAGAAAGGATAGTGGACACATGAATGATGTGCCCAAGGATTTGGGCTCTGAATGAGGCAATATGCCCGGGTAGTGTGGGTCATCCGGAGTGGGGGGGGGATGCTGCTCTGGAGGGGTGGGTTTTGAAAATGGGCTTGGTGACTCCCAGTGGGGTTTCTGTCTCATCCGACAGCAGAACAAAGTTCCTTTGGCAAACGCGGTGGAGTCACAAGCACAGAAGCAGGTAGTCTATAAAGCCAAAAACGATCGACCAAGAATATAAAGAAAGATCATGAAAAAAAGGTTAAAACATGTCACTCAAATATATATATATAGATTGATAGGTTGATTATAACGGTTGAATTGGGTTTGCTTGAATTAGGTTTGAGTGTCGTTCTTAATTCGTTCTTTGTCATTTTTAAACATTAATCATTGGTAAGGTATGAGACCAAAGCAAGACACAGTGTGTCAGTTTTCTAAGCTTATATTGACAACATGTTTACAACAGCATTAATAGTATTCCAAACATGTGACGCTAGGATAGGGAAAGAAGATAAACGTCTTTACTACGAGGTCTGCACACCTCAACGTCACAACATTGCTGGTGATGACTTTTAATAAATATTTACATACTTTCTGTCATTTATGAAATCTACCATTACTAAAAGCAGGGGACATCTAAACTTCAGGCAGTAGCAGTAGGGATACTGTGATAGTCGTTTTACCATTGTTTTTTGGAATTTGGAAAAATGTATTTTATTAAACCAAAACTGAAGGCTTAGGAGTTCACAAAAAAAACAAAAAAAACAATCACTCAACAAATCCTACCACACCTTCTCCCACGAACGCACCACTGTTCCTGCTTCAGCACACAACTAGAACCATGGTGTCGTCGTCGATCCAACGCTCTCTTTTGAACGCCATGTCAAGTCCATCAAACCCACCTTCTTTCATCTTGAAAAACATCGCCGGCGTACACGCCACCCTCTCCTCTTCAGCGGCTGACACACTCATCCACGCCTTCATCCACCTCTCAACCCGGTGACTGCGCTTTACCTGCACACTAAAACGCTGCTTACATTTGTATAATGGTATTTTTGTCATCCAAAGTACCAAAAATAAATGGAAAATAAGCACTAAAACTGAAAGGAGTAACGTTAACTCTGTGTCCACTTTTGACCCTTTTTAGTCTGAGAGAAACCTCCATCTGCTGGAGGGCGCACTCAATTGCAGATGCAGAATTGTCTCTTGCTGTTTCCACACCATGCCACTTCCACCGCCTCTCTACTGCAGAAGTATCTGCACCGACCCTCACCGGGATCCTTTCTTAGCTGCCCGCCACAATTATCTCTGCAGCGAGCCAATTAGTCACCATCTTTCTTTTGTTGGGCTCACACAGTCAAGCGTGCTGTGATCTCAGCGAATTATTTGAATAATGGGGCAGAAGCCAGAGGTCCTAATAGTTTGATTATTTTTTGATCCCAAAAATCAATCCATTGTGCAGACAATACAACAAAATCTGCAACCATTGTATCAAAAACCTTCAAAAGTCTTCAAAAAGGTCAAACGTAAATCAACAGTGTATTTTTTACCCCTAAAAAAAGGAATGGCCAGATGGAATGGCCAGAGCACCATTGTCTTTATTATTATTATTGTGATACATGCCCCTGGAACATGTGGTACATTTAGTTCAATTGACGAGAAGGGATGCATTGCTTTCCCTCACAAAGAACATCAACTATATAAGCTGCATACACTTGGAACTGGATGTATGTGAGGAAGTTTTTACATTTTTTACCTCAGACCTTTGACGTTCATTGAGAAGGAAGATGTCCTACAAATGGACAAAAGCTTCATCCACCAGAAGCCTTTACAAGGTCTTAAGGATTTTCTGAAACAATTTGAGATCGATCCAATAATCAGTAATGTGCATGAGTAATATATGAACGTTAAAAAGCTACGAATTTCCTGTTTCCACTATGTGGTTGTCGTTGTATTTGTCATGTGTCGTAGTGGGTGGAGCCTGATTAAATTGTACATTTACACACACATATATATATATATATATATATATATATGAACGAATCAAATTCATTTTGATATATATGTACACAAAGACAAAGCTACTTGCTGAAAGTAAGAAAGACTCTTTTTTTGTTGAGAACTTGATGATTCGTTGTTTGTTTGATATGACAAATTATGTTACCTTCAAACCCTGACCTGAAAGCTAACAGAAAAAAAAAAAGACTGAAATGTAACTCAATAACAAATAAATCCACATCCTTATCATCCATCATTCGTAAATACTGCTGAATCTGTTTATATGACTGGATCCATGTGAGTGTTTTAGTGGGCATGTGTGCGCCACCCACAAATACACAGACACTCACTTCCACTTCCACTTGTGCTGACTTTAACTTCAAAGCAGAGCGCCAAAGCTCTTAAAGTCTTAAACTGATGGTCTGGATACTCTCATCTTCTGTCAAATCATTATAGTGCACCAAGTCATTAGCTGATGGTGTAGTCATCTATTATAGCTAAGAGGGAATATAGCAAAGGCGCAGCAGAGAGCTGTGCAACTTCAAGATGACCAGATCCTGTGAAGGACACCTTGTTGACTAATTTTGTTTATGGTGGAATTCAAAAGTTGGACCTGGATCTGGAGAAAGCAGAGTCTTAGGTAACACAGTTGATTAATATATTGTCAAATGAACGAGGCAACATTTGAACCAATTTGTTAAAACCGCTCCCATGATGTCACAAGAACTAGGCTGACTTTAGGTCACAGTGAACTTCACCTGTGACCATAAACCATCCACATCCAGTCAGTTCATCTTATAGTTTAGAGGCTTAAAATATTAAAAAGAATATCAGTTGTACGGTTTATTAACCAAGAATAAGTGGTTTCAACAAGGTGACTGAAAGGGCTGTCAGTTCTGCCACATAAACATAAAATATTTTTTGAAGTCCGTCGTGATGAATGCAGCATTTAAGGAAAATCTGTTGAGTGCCAGAAAAAAAGGGTCAGAAGAAAGTACACGGCTCTTAGGTAAAGGCGGTTTATCTGTAAAATTGGCTTGCAAATGAAAACTGTCTGATGTGCTGCACAAGAAAGCGATGTGCAACAAGCATATTGCTATCCGAGTATATATATATATATATATATATATATATATATATATATATATATATATATATATATATACTCACACATGGATTTCAGCCTCTGTTCCTTCTCTTTTCAAATGAAGCTCAGTTAGATAAACAGCTTATAATATTGGTAGTGTAAGAGAGTTGGAAAGGGGGATATTGTGATGCAGCAGTAATGGGTTATACCACTGGATGGGGATTATTTTTCTGACAAAATACTATCTAATCTTTTACAGAGTATTCTGAAGGTACCCGTCCTTATTTAGTGCTTGATGTGTTTTTCTCTTACAAACACATATGACTGAAGAGCTGAGTCCAGATGAGATATGTTGTACATTATCATAAGTAGAACTTATTTTTTTATATAAGTATATCTTTCTTAGTTAGACAGCTATTGCCTAGCACATGCTCTTAGACTACTACCCATCCTACAAAAACAACCAGATTACAACAAACACATCACAAACATGACACGGTAAACATGTGTTATAACATGACCTTAATTTGGGATTTTGACTGGGCTCGGTATACCTTACATTACATTACGCCAGTTGTCTGAAGAATTATTTGAGTATCTTTGTATTTTGTTAATTCTTTAAAAAAAAACAACGAGAAAAACAGCCAGATTAACGAGGTGGCCTAATGTCAAAGCATCTGTCAGTAAATACACATTGACCTAAAAGACAAAACACATAATATATGATGAATGCAAGGGGCTGTCACAGCTCATTGTTTTTCATACAATTAAAAGGGAAACAAAGATACAACTAGAAGCAATTCAAGGAAAGAGACCAGACCTATAAACAGGAATAATATAGTGTAATGCTAATATTATGTGGCAAGGAATTAGTGTACATCTGTATTCAGAATGAGTAGTTTAGCCATAATTGACAATAGCATCACATGCCTGGCTACAGGACTCTGATACAATTATCAATGTCTTCCTCTAGTGTTGACTCATAATATTCTAGTAAACACTCTCCATCAACAGACATGAATTGATTCTTTAAAACAAAATAATTTACATTCCAAAAGCATACAATATAAATAACATTTAAATGATATTAACATTACTAAAATGAGTTTTTTCGCGTATTGTGTGGAAATGGTTTTGGTCATGGGGGAGAATATCCTGACTGTGGCTTATATTATATTTTATGTTCGTCTGATTTTTAATATACATGCAAATTATTCTTTGTGTTATTGGTGGAACTGATACATGACCACCTTTTGTTCATTGGATGAATCATTCCTGCAACTCTGAAATCAGAAAAAACTGCTTTCTCATAGCAACGTCGAAACGGCCAGACGTTATATGGCCCAATTCATTACAGTCAGTGACGGAGGAAGGGACAGCAAGAGAGAGAGAGAGAGAGAGAGAGAGAGACACAGAGCGAGAGAGAGACACAGAGCGAGAGAGAGAGAGAGAGAGAGAGAGAGGGGGGGCATTAAAGCTCCTGGTTTAAGCCCATCCCTTTCTGAATATGTAAATGTCTTGGGCACAGCGAAAAAAAGAGAAAAGGCGAGGAGGGAAGAGGGGAGCGAAAGGAAGAGGAGGGGAGCAGCAGCAGCAGCAGCAGCATGAAAAAGCTAGTGAGCGATCAAGGGAAAGAGAGCAAGAGAGTGAGGGAAAGGGAGCGAGCACTCTGAATTGTGAGTGGCTTACGACACTCAGTGAACAGAAGGTGCTCCTGCATGCGCTGTCAGTGTACTGCTCTGCTGCAAGGGATTGTGTACTCCTTTGCTTTACCACGTTCACCGCGCCTGCCTGCCTGCCAGCCAGCCAGCGGCAGTCTCAAACAGCCTGTTCCTGCCGGCCGACAAAACACCGGGAGAGCGCGGGAGGTGACAGAAAAAAAACTGGGAGCCACGGGGTGATGCGTGCGACTTTGAAACCAAGACGAGCCACTGAGAAGACAAGGAATACTGGTGCACAAGATAAAGCGTGAACATGCTTCACCTCTTTCAATCCTGATTTGTATTTTTTTTTTGCATTGGTCACTGAAAGCATGATCACCCGCTTGAATGGATTTAAACCGTACAAGTGAGTGATCGCTTCTACAGATGGACGGTAATATGTGTTGACAGATCTGCTGAAACTTAAGCGGGAAGGGGAGGAGAAAGCAGCGAGACATTTGAAAAGATTTTTCCTTGGTCCCCCCTTTTTTTTTTTTCTTTCTGTGGTTGTCTCTTCTTCCCTCTGATCATTGCAGCAGAGGACTGCGGAGGAGCAGAAGAGACAGAGCTCATGTATGCAGACAGGGGAACTTGCACTTCCTACCATCTAGCTGAAAGCTACTTGGATTCCTTCTCTTTTTGGCTCTTTCCTTTGAGGAGAACTAAGACATTGTAAGCCTGCCAAGGATCTGGTGTCCACTGAAAAGAGAAAAGGGAGGGAGCAAGAGGAAGGGGTGGGGGGGGGATTTGTACCACAGTGGGGTCTTTTTTAGATTCACACATAATTAGTGTTGGGGCACAAAGCGAGACGCTGAATGGAGATTGTCAGCTTTTGGATAGGGGTGAGTAGGAATCTTTTCAAATAAGATCAATGAGGACAATTTTATTTTTTCCATCCCCTCTACTCTCCACCCACCGCTTGATTTCTTGCACAAGCAAGGAGACGTGCCCTCTATCCTTTTGTATTTTAGACAAAGATTCCTTTGGTTGTCAAAGTAAACGAAGTGCAACATCACCGTCTTCAGCTAGAATACAAAATTGCAACAAATATTATTGCACTCATTGAATATGATGTGATTGCTGCAAAAACAATATCCAGAGTGGTTCAATGGACATTTTCTCAGAGACATCTCTGGATACTTATGCTAATGGATTTCCTTCTAATTGGACTGTACTTAAAGTGGCCACTGAAGAAGCCCCCTGGGTTGATACTGTGTTTGTTGGGGATTTTTCTAAAAACGGTTCCCTCGGTGGAGGGGGTTTGTCCACGGCTGTGCCGCTGCGACAGCAAGCTGCTGTACTGCGAGGGTCTCAACCTCACAGACATTCCCCGCAATCTGAGCAGCGCCATGGGCCTGTCCATGAGAGAGAACAACTTAACCGAGCTGCGTGAAGGCCAACTGGTCGGTCTGTCGCAGCTCACCTGGCTCTATCTAGATCACAACAACATTGACATTGTAGAGGAGGGTGCTTTCGACAGGCTGAGACGGGTCAAGGAGTTGGACCTCAGCAGCAACCGGATTGACAGTCTGCCAAATGGCACCTTTAGGCCCCTCCCAAACCTGCGTATTCTGGACCTCTCGTACAACAGGCTGCAAGCACTGGAGCCTGATCTGTTCCACGGCCTTAGAAAGCTCACCAATTTGCATTTGCGCTACAATGTTTTGAAATTTGTGCCGGTGCGGATTTTTCAGGATTGCCGGAGCATGCAGTTTCTGGACTTGGGATACAACCAATTGCAGAGCCTAGCGAGGAACTCCTTCGCTGGCCTCTTCAAGTTAACCGAGTTGCATCTTGAGCACAACGAGCTGGTTAAAGTCAACCTCGCCCACTTCCCTCGCCTCATCTCCTTACGTACACTATACATGCACAACAATCGCGCTACTGTTGTCGTCAGCACCCTGGACTGGACATGGAATTTTTTAGAGAAGATCGACCTCTCGGCCAATGAAATAGAGTCCATGGAACCACATGTTTTTGAGAGCGCACCCAACCTCAAGGTGCTGATGCTGGATTCCAATCGGTTGACCTCTGTGGATCAGCGCATCCTGGATTCTTGGTCATCTCTGGACAGCATAACCCTGGCGGGGAATGACTGGGAGTGCAGTCGTAACGTGTGTGCTCTGGCCTCTTGGCTCAGTGCCTTCCGAGGCCAGCGTGACAGCTCCCTGCTGTGTTCAAGCCCCGACACCGCGCAGGGCGAGGACGTGTTGGATGCTGTGTATGCTTTTCAGCTATGTGAGGGTCCCCCGATGGAGGTCACTACAGCAGGCCTGTATGCCTCCACAAGGGATCTGTCCCAGGGCGGTTCGGTTTTCCTTGGCCCATTTACCCCTAACCCTTACGAGGGTGAGGGCGGTGAGGTGGTAACCAGTTCTTTCACCGTCACAGTGGGCCACGATGACCTGGAGAACACCATGCAGATCCACAAGGTGGTGACTGGCACCATGGCACTCATTTTTTCCTTTCTCATCATTGTGCTGATGCTGTACGTGGCATGGAAGTGCTTTCCAGCAGGAATAAGACAACTGAGGCAGTGCTTCAGCAGTCAGCGCCGTAAGCAGAAGCAGAAGCAAAGCATGCAGCAGATGGCTGCAATTTCTACACCGGAGTACTATGTCGACTACAAACCTAACCACATTGAGGGAGCTCTGGTCATCATCAATGAATATGGCTCTTGCACTTGCCAACAGCAACCTTCTCGGGAATGCGAGGTGTGACCATGATTTGTGAATAAGTCTTTACCTGTTATTTTCTGGAAATACAGTAAATCCCTTTTTGGATACAAGGGGGAGGGAGTATTGTGGGGAAGAAGGAATACATGGATCTTTTGGGACTCTTTTTACACAGCATCTCACTGTGATTTGGAGGAGTGTGCTTCATGCGGCTGACTGTTTTGCAGTGGATTTAGTGCTTCTGCTATCTACTGTATATTTGAGGCCACAGGGCATAATGGCCACGGGACTCTAAGACCTGTTGATGCTCTACAGTAAACCGGAGAGGAATACATCGTGGGCACTGAGACTTTTCTCTCTTGGGTGGATATTAGAGCTTTAATGAGTCTTTCTACATCAGAACATTTAATTATTGTGTAAAAAGAAACTGGGGACACTCATAAGATTAAAAAAAATAACAAGAAGAAAAAAAATATTTGTAACATGATAAATACAATATTTGACAAGCATTTAAAATATATATAAAAAACATGTTTATGTTGGATTCAAATGTAAAATAAAAGTCGGTGTAAAATATGTTAAAAAAGAATGGCGCGTGTGGATAGAACGTTATAAAAGATAATCTATTTCTTTTTTAAACTACAAAAAATGTTGAAATAAATGAATTGCTATTCACAGTAAAATCATTTGTATGTGATAAGCCTGTCAGAAAGAATGGACGACCATAGATGCTGTCTCTACACTAATGACAGGAGGGATACGTCTCTTCAGTGTATCGAACCAAAAAAAAATAAATACGGAAAAAAGGCGAGCAGAGGGATATCTGCATCCCATCTCCAATGTACTACCCATGGTTCGTTAGATCTCTTTCTTGTTTTATCTTTCATATTTGTTGTTTTATCATTCAATGTGTTGGCTCGCTATCAGTGTAGTTTATTTCCCTCTTCACATTGCCTATCTGAGAATAGATTCAACTGATCTATGACATTTCAATCGGCAATCATATTACCAAATCATTACATCACTATCTGTGCACCATCCAAGCAGAGTGTCAAATATCTAAAGCTATGCCTCGTATTGCCTCTCACCGTCTGGATTTCACAGAGGAGCGATGCCTCCTTCCACTGAATCAAGCACACTAAAGGAAACAATCATCGAAACCATGCAAACTTAAAATTAAAATACAATGTAAAATTGTATCAGAATCATTGAATAAATTATCGAGCAGCTTAAAGATTTGCACATAAAATGCTTTTCACTGTGTTTTCATGTGATGTACGATGTTTGTTGAATACAAGGTCATTTTGAGGTGTGTATATATATATCCTTCTTCCTCTGGTGTTCATTCTGTAAATTAGTGCACTGACAGATGTTGTGTTTCCGGGGCTCTTTGACATGAACAGTATGTTGTGGGAGAAGACGGGAAGTGAGAGGGAGATGGAGGATCACAGCTACTGCGGAAAGAGGGAACAGACTGCTCTCTAGTGTGCATAGTCTCATACTGTGGCTGCATTTTACCGTGCACCCCACTCTGCCAACCTCCACAGCTAAGGAAACATCATTATACTGAATATGCGGCGGCTTTTCTGAAAAAATATTCAATGCATCAATCTGAATCATTTTTGTGTTATTTTGCGATAAATTAAAGATAATGTTTACAACTTGTAAGTCAGCGGGAATAAAAATGTTTAAGAAATCACTGACAATCATTATATAATTAGTTACACTAAGAGTAATAAGTTGTTTTTTTCAACGTTATCAACAACTTTGTATGTGCAGTTGGTGTCCAGGTGTTCTTTGGACATTATGCAACCACAGGTAAGAACTGGTTGGGTTAGCGGTTGTTCGGTGAGTTCTAACATGGTGGAAACATGTGTGGATGCAACAGAGCGCAGAAGAAGTCCAATTTGTCTGAAAAGAAATGTTTTCGATCTATTCCATTTGAATAAGGGTCATAATTAGTGGTTTCAAACTAAAATATTGTCCATCTAAAAAGGCAGTTAATGATCAAATGGAAAAGCACTTTCACACTATTTTAACATATGCTGCTGTCTTTGGATAATATTGCACGCTCTGAAATAACATTTGTGTACATTTTTGTACATTTGTGTTAGTTCTTGTAATCACAGATTGTCAAATCCCTGAGAGACCTGCAAAGTGAGCCACCGGATATAAATATCAAATTACTTTGCTTCCTTTCACAGCTCAAAGGATTTCTCTCAGGTAAAATTCCATCACAGACTAATCACACTTCTTAACATGAACGATATGCTGGGAAATAAAGTGTTTGCACATGAGTGCACTAAATTCAAACTATTTTCTTATTCCTTTCTTAAAAAACCTAAGCGGCTATAACCATTATATGTTAATATAAATTCAATAGGAGGCATAACATGTACTTAAAAGAAGATCTGAAATGCTCCTCAAAATTTCATAATCACTTCCAACATGGAATTTATCAATCAGTTTCCAAAACTCTAACGTGACTTTCTGGCTTCAATTATTTTCAAATAGTCCGTCTTCACACACACATGATGCATCACTGCGCTGTTTTAATCTAACTATCTGTGATAGTAAAGGGACCCTTTTTCTGCAATTACCATCCAAGCAATGTCAAATTAGGGCCATGTAGGATGAAACATTAAGGTGCAATAAACCCACAACATACTTTCATGTTTTTATGGCTGTTAACAAGTTATTTTCTATGGCGAAGAACTAAACGAATAGTTGGCATGCAATGCATTTACTGCTCATGTAACAATACACCAATAGTGTTTTTTTTTAAGGGAAGACATTTGGGGATGATAGTTTAAAATTCTCAAGCGGGATTAGTATTCATGGTACCAGGGAAAATGTCCTTTAAGACTCTGCATTGCTGTGTCACATATCATGTGGGTGCAACTGACTGCAGTAGGTGAGGTAGGGCTTCATGATGTGAACACCTACTTATTTGCTCTTCTTGACATCCTGTGTACACTCCCCCCCCCCCCCCCCCCCCTTCGAGTCCTTTACAGACCTTTCAACACAACTGCTGGGTCCTCTTTCAGGACAATTTGAGGTTGCGAAACTTCATTTGTATAAATATTGAATGATGCCTGGCAAAGGCCAGCTTTGCCACCAGTATTGATTTCATTTCAGTCCTTTCTTGAACAAGCAACCAGGGCAAAAGGTGATGGAGAATGGCTGTGAGTATTTAAAAAGCTGACGTTAGACTACTTTAGACTTATCTCAATCTCTATTCAGCTTTCCTTTCTTCTTTATTTCCTGTGTCCATAAAACACAGTAACTGCCGAGGAAAACATCCATTCATCTACCTGACAATAGATCAAATCTCTGCTTGACCCAAACTTGGGGCGATAATTCCCTCTGGGGAAATAAGTGCCAGCAGACAGCCTCCATTATAAATGCCATGATTGATGATGCTGAGTAAAAATCCATACAGTTGAGTGGTGACCAAAACTATCAGAGTGATAACAAACGTATTCACCTCTCCCTCACGCTTTCAAATGCACACTGATGGATGAGGATGATGTGTTTCATTTATGTGTGAAACCAGAATTGATTTACAATATGATAAGTGGTTGACGTGGTGATTAAACAACTCAGATCACTGTTCAGGCAGACAAAAAAAGTGTGAGTCGTCCTCTTTCAAGTACAGTGGAGCAAGCAGGCGTTACATTAGTCCTGCGCTTAAGAGGCAGCTGTCTGCCAGCCAAAGGATGTGCAGGGTACAAGCATGTACATGCTAATGCTAATCGGTCTGACACTACTGGCCCTTAGCGTATATATGCACAATTGAACATGTGGTGTATTATGGTGCGTTCACACCAAAAGCGAAGCAAATTACGTCTGCGCATTCGCCCGACGCTATCTAGTGAAAGCCAATCAGCGTTGAGATGCTCCGCTCTTCATCACCGCCGTCCTGCTGCCACAGCGTGAATACACTTTATTAAACCGCCGCTCAAGTTAGTTTGTGTCTAACGGAGAGACGCCGGCACAACGGGTCATCAGACCGGCTGCTGGTTCGCCCGAAGCAGCGCTGGAAGCCGCAGTCATCCAGACGCACTTCCTGGAGGAGTCGGTGAAATTCAAGCTGTGTGCGGATGATGATGTCATGAACCCAAACACAACACCGTTTGCGGTTCCGACGTTCGTGCCATGGTGGATAGCGGACACGATTATAACTGTCTTTACGGAGACACATAACATAGATAAGCCACGCCCCCTTCCAGGCGAGAATGAAGCGGAAAAAATGGGACGTGAATGAAGCGAAATACACAGCAAAAGCGGGGCGAAAATTCGCTTTGCTTTTGGTGTGAACCCACCATTAGTGTATGTGCAGCCAGGTTTGTGCTCGTTATAAATAATATAAATAATCCCAACAAACCTGGAATCCATGTTGTCTAGGACCACAGGGTTAAGTGTGCAATGCTGTGACGAGAGGTCACAAACTAAAGACGTATATACAGGTAGAGTTACTGGCACAAAGGGTCAATTTGAAAGGGGGTGTGATGAGCAAAAGGCGGGTCATTTTTCGAAGGAGGCGAGTTTAAAGGTCAAACACTAACAATGGAGACACCCTGCATACTGCTGGCTGTGATCCAAATAAACACCATTTAACCTCACTAATATCAACCAGAAAACAACAGAGAAAAATACAATGAACAAAACATGGTGTAAGCATGTTAATGCCTGAGTGCAAACATCGTAGCTTGCGCCACAACCTGCATCGAGCGGGGGGGCCTCAGGGACACAAACAAATCCTCAAAAAATTAATGAACCTGGCTTCCTGTGAGGGGTTTCGATCGGGCAACATTCTGCCATCTCATTGGGACTGGGACTGTGCTGCATAATAAGCGCTTACCACCCCCTCATAACTGGATGGAGAGCTAAATCATGGGTGGCAGCATCTACTGCAGTAGGCTGTAAGGAGCGGTTGATGACTAATGACGATGAGTGGGTGGCTTTCCACTGCTTCTTTTATAACAGGTGGGTTTTCAGAATCAATATTCTAATCAACATCAACATTATCTTTGAATCCAAAACCTCGGACACACCATTTTCTCTCTTCCTGTACATTCCCTCCTTTTGCTCCTTTCAAACATTGCCGCTGTTGCTGTTGTGGATGTGAAGTAACTCAAACTATTTCACTGAGTTCAATGAAAGCCACTATTCAATTCATGCTGTTGTATGGAGTGAAGGCAATCTCCTTTTGAACAAAATATATTGATAATAAACTAGAGTAACAGTTAAAAGTTTTCTTGTTTAATTCAATGAATTGAATGCAGCTACACAAGTGTGTCCACACTTTTAACTGGCACTGTATGAATTCCTTATAGTTTAATCCCAGACGTTATGCAAATTGAACAAATAATAGTTTTTCAAACACAAATGTCCAATAGGGCAACGTCAATAAATTACTTAGGCTAACCCTGCAGGCAATCTATGGCTCTCTAAACCCACTGCTTCATTTGCATGCACTTTACACAAGCAATACTGAATTAATAATAATCACAGAGGAGTCATTATTCTACATTTGGTACTGTAGGTGGAGCAGTGGTGGCTAATGAGGAAGGTGAAACTAGTGGGAAAATGGGGGCAAGGTTGGCAGCTGAATATTCATGTGTGAGTGAGTCAGAAGGGGAAAGAGGAGAACAGCAGACTTGAATGTATTTTTTAGATGAATTTGTTAGCATTGCTTGGTTGGATTAGCCTGTGATAACATGTTTGTCTTGCATTTAACATTAAAAGTCAGTGAGATAATACACTGCAACAGCTGGGCCTGCATCTGGGGCTCCATGTTACCCGTATAAGAGCAGATGTGGGTCATCGTCTAATGTTCAGAGTATTATGGTGGCTGAACCACAAAGCTTTATCCAGGACTGATTTCCGGATTTTCTATTCATGTATTACTGTTATTCATACCTTCACAGATATACCGCAGGACAATGGGTGGGATGTAAGACCGATCCCAAATCATTTAGGTTGCACCTTTTACATGCATTTACATTGTTTTCTACACCCCAGATTTAGATTAAGTCCTGCATGTTTTGATGCACATTTCTTCCATTCCAGTTCTATTCCATATGTGTCAATAGTTTACAATTTAGACACCTAAATACATGTACCTGGCACAAACTGTGTTCCAGCAGTACATTGAATGCATGGCTGCAATTGCTGCATCTGCACTTGCAAACTGGCATAGTTTAAATAATCAAAACACGCCTATTTGATATGCTTGAGGAACTATTTTCTGCAGCATTCACCAGCACAAGAGTGGTGATAATGGGAATGGAAAAGTATGGTCAAGGCATGGCCAAAACACATTGTGAATTAGTGTGTCCAAAAAACACATTAAACTACTTCTTCATCCAGCACTCTGACATCTGTTCAGGTTATTCATAGTTTATGATAAATGAGTCATCAGGACAACTGCATCTACGTTTCATTATTCATAGTCAGATGACCTCAAATAAAACTGAACCCATGACGATCCTTTGATATAGCGTTGCAAAGGCAGGGCACAGGAAGACTATGGAAAAAGGTCCATAGGTCAAGCGAAGTAAACACGCAGACAAAATGCCTCGTTTCCCATTTATCTGATCAGTGTCAAGATGAATAAATGCTAATGTCCCCGCTCCTGCTGCTCCCTCTCTTTTCCTTATCTGTGGGGGCAGATTGGCATCTCTCCAGTAG